GCTGACAGCGCGGTGCAGCTGTGAGAGCTGGTCCCAAGCAGGGACCGGGGTGGGTGGGAGAGGTTTGTTCTCAGCGTGGCTAATGTGTCCCAGACCCCAATAAACAGCCGTGAGATTCTCCAAACAGCCCGGGACACAGAATCCCTGCCCCCGGGTTTATCGGGGGGCAGGGGCCGTGGGGGATGCTGTGCTCTGCAAACAACCCGACCCGCACATAAAAGGGGACTGTCCTCGTGAAGTAGCGGCTCTGGAGCCCCCCAGGGGGTCAGCAAGGGCTGGTGGTCCCAGTGCTGGGGGCACAGCAGGTCCCAGCACTGAGTGTATAGGTCCCAGCATGTCCCAGGGCTGAGCACCAGTGTTCCAGGATGTCCCAGTGCCAGCAACTGGAGCCTCAGCGAGCTCCAATGTGAACACCATGAGCCCCAGTGAATCCCTGCACAGGAGCTGTGCATCCAGTATGTCCCAGTGCCGGATGGAACCTGGGGCCCTAGAAACCTCCAGTATAAAGGCAATGCATCCCAGTACACCCCAGTGCTGAGGCTGTGGATCCAGCACGTCCCAGTGCTAGGGCCATGGCTGTCACCACACCCCAGTGCCAAGGATGGCACAATGACCCCAGAGCAAGCTCCAGTGTAACAGCCCTGGGTCCCAGCATGTGCTGGTCCAGAAGCTGGGCACCCAATAACATCTAGCTCTGGGCTTGTGGATTCCAGCACATCCCACTGCTGAGGCTGTGCATCCCAGCATGTCCCAGCACTGGGGCCAAGGGTCCCAGCGTGTCCCAGTGACAAGCCTGTGGGTCCCAGTACATTCCAGCCCCTCCCAGCACCGTGAGAGGGAAACGGTGACTCAGAGCAGCGGGGCTGGTGGGAGCCGGGTGCCCCTTTGCCCCGTGTGGGGTGAGTGCTGCGGCCGCCGCTCGCTCCCGGCAGCGCCGGCGCCCCGGCAGCCCTGCACGGAGCTCAGCCACGCTCCCCTCCCATCCTCTCCCCTTCCTGCGTGCGGACACCCTTGGAAAGGCTCTTGGCCGCTTTCTCTGAGACAGGAAGGTGTCCCCGAGTCTCAGGAAGGAAAAACACTCAGTGCTGAACCCACAAAGACCGTCTCTGAGGGGCCAGGGCTGGAGAGGCTCCAGGCCTGACATCACCTGGGAACTGGAACCAGAACCGCAGCTGCACTCCGCGCCTGGTATTTTTTTTTTTTTTTAAACTTGTGTTTTTAAACTTTCTTTTTATAGATTTTTATTTTATTATTTATTTTCCCCTTTCCCTTCTCCATTCCCCTCCCAAATATTTCAGCCTCCCCGCAGGCTGGCCAGCCAGGCTGGAATGCAGCAGGGCTGCACCCGCGGGTGCCGGGAGCTGCCTTGAGGCTGGGATGGATGAGGCTGGGTCTGGGCAGGCAGGAGCTGCTGGATCCACGGGCAGGGGTCAGGCTGGGGCTCACCCCCCGTGACAGGGGCCAGGACCCGATAGCCCCTGGTGCTGCTGTGCACCAGGGCTGCTGGAAAGGGATCCATGGCCAAGCAGGACACAGGAGGGTCAGTCTGGCCATGGGGTGTGGGAGGACAGAGGGCAGAGGGGTCAGGCAGAGCCCACAGGCCGTGGGCAGCGCTGCTTTCCCCACACACCGCCCCCAGGACGGGGCTGTGCAGTCAAACCACGTCTGAGTCTGAGTCTGAGTCAGCGGAGCAAGAGGAGCCAGACACGGACAGAGGACACAAAGACAGATTTGGGGCCCAGGATCCAGCCCTGCTCATTCCTCGTCCTTTGGCAACACCTTTGGGTGCTGTCTGACCCTCCCTGGGCTTCCCCCAGGGTGGAGGCTCATGATAAAGACCCCAGCGTATCCTGGAGCAAAGCTCAGTTGCTTGTTGTCTGGGGAACCCTCCCTGTGACAGTGACAGCCACCAACTGAGTGTCACAGGCCACTCTGAGCCCTGTCAGACCTGGGGTGAAGGACTGGGAAGGGAGCCCCAAGGTCTAGATGGCACTGAGTGGAGACAGGGTGACACACCCCTGCTGCCCAGGGCAGGGTGGAGAGAAGGATCAGGGAGGGATGGGATGGGATGGGATGGGATGGGATGGGATGGAATGGGATGTCACACCATGGTCCTCCAGGTGGGGGTGCTGGGCAGTCTCTGCCTCCCCGTGCCAGCAGACCCAGACTGGCATCCTGCCAGGATCCCTGGGGAAGAAAACAGGCAAAGGCTCTGCCTGAGACCCCCAAGACACCTGGCACATCCTCACCATCACGAGGGATGCACGGCAAGAACGCCCCAAGGTCCCACACGTCCCAGGGGTGCAGCGGGCACTGCTGCAGGGCTGCCACGTCCCCCCCATGCACAGGAGCCCTCGGAGCTGCTCGCCCTGCTGGGACCTCGTGCCAGCTGCGGTCCCTGGGGACACGGGCCCGGCAGCAGGGACAGGGTGTGAGGCCGTGGTGCGGGGTGAACGCCAGGTTAATCTCCCGCTGGAGCTTCCCTCTGCAAACAATAAGACAATGCCCGGCCGGGGCCGCCTGCGTAACCAGCGGCGAGGAGGGGAAGTTGTAATATTTGGATTTAGCCCTCAGTAAATTAAGGAAGAAAAAGGAAAAAACGCTGGGGGTAATCAGAGCAGGGCTGGCCCCGTGCCCTGCCCCACGGCCAGCGGCCCTGGGGGCTCAGCTCAGCCTGTGGGCAGCAGGTGAGCAGGGCCAGAGGCTCTGAGTCACTGAGGCCAGGCATGGCTGGGACAGGGACACGTCCCTGAAGGCCAGGCAGGGGACAGGCATGTCCCCACCATGGGGACAGCAGCCTGGAGGGTCAAGGCTTGGATACCCAGCAGCGCTGTGGGCAAACATCTCCAGCCACATCAGAAAAAAGGGATCTGGGCCAGGAGGTTATTTTAATCCAAACCTCTTCATGGGAAATAAAATCCTATTTCTGCAGCTGGGGCGGCTGGGCAGGAGAGGGCCCGGGGGGTCATCACCTTCAGCTGGCAGTGGCTGGCAGGGGGTGACAAGGGAGGGGGCTGTCCCAGGATGTCTCCACTGCACAGCCCCTTTCCCAGCACAAGCCCGGCTCCCTGGGATCCCACGGCAGGGCCACACTCAATCAAACACACACCGTGGCTGGAGATGGGGCTCTGAGAGGGGATGGGAAAAGGTCTCACTGCAGGGAATGCCTGCAGATGCTCAGGGCAGGAGCAGCGCTGCAGGGATGGCATTAAACCCTCCAAAATGTGGCCGTCCCACACAGCAGCAGCCCCACTCCCCCAGGGCTACCCCTGCCCGTCCTGGCCCCAGTGGGGTGAGCAGGGCAGGGACACCTCAGGGAGCCAGTTTGGGGGGCAGTGCTGGACCCCACCCTGCAGGGTCTGGCCTGGGAGGGCTCCATCCCCCCCTGTGCCCGGGAGACCCTTCCCCTGCTTGCTGACTGGGGCTGGGGGAGAGGTGAGCAGCGGGCAGCAGCGGCAGGGGAAGGCCTTGGGCACGGCGCCCCACGCCCGGAGCCCATTTCCCCACAGCAGGGGCCGTTATCAGCGGCAAATCCTCCGAGCAGTCCCAGGGGGGACCTCCAGCCCTTCCCCTCCACCTAGCCCAGCGCTCTCCCGCTCCGGCCCACGTCAATGCCGCCGCGAAGGTGTCGGAACAATCGCCTGACAAAGAGCTATTTTTAGGGGCCGGGGCTTGGAGCGAGGATACGGCCCGGCCGCTGACAATGGGGGGAAGGGGGCCGGGCTTCCCCCGTGACCACTCGGCAGCAGAAGGACCTGTAAGATTTCCTCGATGACCCAGGCCCGTACAATACAAGGAAAGCGCGAGAGGGAGATACCCCCGGCAGGACGAGCTGCTCCTTTACCTAATGGGAGTGACCCGGGGTGAGGGGCTGCGGGCTCTGGGCCAGCGGGCTCCCCTGGGGGAGACTCCCACAGCGGGAGGGAAGGGGGGGAAGCCTGGCCCTGCTCGGCTTTCCGTGAGGCCGAGTGAGGGGAGGCCAGGCTGGCTCCCTTCTGAAGGCCATGGCGGGTCAAAGGGGGGCAGACACAGCTCAGCACAGCCCCTTCCCCTCCAGGCTGGCTCACAGCTGAGGTGGGAGGACCAGCCCAGAGCTGCTTGTGCCCAGCTAGCCCTGGTCCGAGTGTGCCACGAGCCCAGGCTCCTGCTCGTCCTCAGGCTGAGCCTGGATGCCTTTCCTCCCACCTCGGGGTCTCCCCCAGCTCAGCCTGTGCCAGATGGGTCGGTGGAATGGTGAATGGTCGGTGGACCATTCGCTCCGGCCAGTCCTTTGGGGAAAAAGCGATGTCCTGGGCTGCACGGCAAGAAATTGGGCTGAAGAGGTGAAAGGCAGGGAGAGAAGGTCACGGGTCGCTGGACTAGGTCAGGGCTTGGCCTGGTTGCTGGCTGGGCTGCCGGCTCAGCAGAGGGATGAGCCCCTTCTGTGAACAGCGCCGGGACCCCACGGCTCTGCGGCGGCCCCGGGGTCTGGGAGGGCCGGGCCGGTGTGGTGGAAGGGCTGGAAGGGCTGATGGAAGGGCCAGAGGAGGGCTGAAGAACGGCGGGGACAGGGCTGTGCAAGGGCCAGGACAGGCCCGTGGGAGGGCGTGGGAATGACAGCGGTAAGGGCCGGTCCCGGGGCCGATGGAGGGGCCGGGCAGCGCCGGTACCGGGGCCGATGGAGGGGCCGGTCCCGGGGCCGATGGAGGGGCCGGTCCCGGGGCCGATGGAGGAACCGGGCAGCGCCGGTCCCGGGGCACCTCCGCAGGCCGCAGCCGCCCCCTGGCGGCGGGTCCCGCACACTGCCCCGCACAGGGGCCGGGCCCAAGCGGCCGCCGCTCACGCTCGCGCCTCTCACCGGCGCTGAAGAGGCCGGCACGGACCCCGCCACCTTCCCGCGGCTCACGGGGACACGCCTGGGCACGGAGCGGGGACAAACCCGCGTCCCCCGCGCACCGCCGCCACCACCGCGGACTACAACTCCCATGGCCGCCCGCGGCGTGCTCCACCCTTCCCTGCGCACGCCCCCGCGGCGCGTGGCGGGGCTCGCGCGGCTTCCGTTTCCGGCGCGCCTCGCTCTGGTCCCTGCGGCGGCGGCCGAGCCTTGTGCCTCCGCCATATTGTCTGTGTGCGGCGGCGGCGGCGGCGGTAGCGGCCGCGCCAGGTACCGGCGGCTCCGGCGCCCAAGCGGGGCGCGGCTGCCCCTCAGGAGAGCGGGGCCGCGGCGGCGCTGAGGGGGAGCGGGCAGAGCGGGCGGGTGCGCTGCGGCGGAAAGGGCACGGCCCGCCGCCTGCTGCCCTCGGAGGGGCTCCGAGCCCCCGGGGGGAGCGGGCAGGGGCTGTGGAGGGGCCGCCCCGCTGCCCCCAGCCCGGTGCGGGGCCGCCCGCGGCCGCGCAGGAAGGGCAGAGCCCCGCGGAACGGGGGCCGCCCCCTCCCCCGGCTCTCCCCGCTCGCACCTTCGGGCCGTGTAGGTGTTATTTTCCTAAATTGCTCGATGTTGCCTCTTCCCCCGCCCTGCCCGGAGATGCGGAGGGCACGGGCAGGCCTGCTGGTGCTCGCTGCCACCCCCGGCTGCGCAGGGACTCCGTTCTGGGCCCTGCTGGGCGGGGGAAGGTCGTGCTCACGGCTCTCCGCACCAGTCTATGGAAGCAGGGCTGGTCAGTGCCCCCGCTGGAATTTAGTTAATTGTGCCTTGGGACCGAGAGCAGTGTGTCTGTTGGTAAAATGTGGTTTGTAAGAGAGGGGTGAGATAAGATTGTGGAACCCCGTGTGTGTGAGATCACTTAATTCTTTCTTACTGAGGGCTTCGGGTGAAACCAATAAAGTTTGGGTTGTGAATATTCAAGCAGAGTGGAGGGGCAGGCACTGATCTGTGGGCTCTGGTGATCGGTTGCAGGACCTGGGGCAATGGCATGGAGCTGTGTGCAGGTGGTTTAGGTTGGATATTAGGAAAAGGTTTCTCACCTGGAGGATGGATGGAGACTGAAACAGGCTCCCTGGGGCAGTGGTAACTGCTCCAAGCCTGACAGAGCTCAAGGAGCATTTGGGCAAGGTTCTGAGGCACAGGGTGGCATTGCTGGGGGGTCTGTGCAGGGCCAGGAGTTGGCCTCTATGTTCTTGTGGGTCACACCCAGCCCTGGTACCCTTGAGAGGGTCTCTAGATTTGGGATTGTGTTGCTCAAAGCTGACCCTGGGGCCTTGGGGAGCTGCTCTTGCACTGACCCTGTGCCAGGCTTTGAACGTGGGCACGTGTCCCTGGAGAGGGCTGTGCCATGTGCTTACCTGGCTCCCCAGGGAAGCTCATCCTGGGTGAGCTCCACAGATGGGCTGGGAAGAGCCCGTGCCAGAGGGGACAGGGCACGGTGGCAGCTGCTCAGAGCAGAGCAAGTGGACAGCCAGCATTTCTGCTTGGGGCTGGGAGTGATTTCTTTGTTCTTTGAACACACTCTCTTCTCTGAAACAGAATTGCTCCAGTTACTCAGACTCAGAGCTGGGGCTTGTGCCATCCTGCCAGCCAGCCGGGTGTTGGATGTGAATCCAGGGTGGATTCCAGGTGCATCAGCAGCTGGGGCACAGGAGTCGCTCATCCTGTGGTTGCTGGTTTGATGTGATATAGAAAAGGGCAAAGTTCCTGCTAGGAGAGGAGAGAGTGAGCTTGGGAGGACTCAGGGCAAGATTTGGGGAAAGTGTGAAGCGTTATCAGTTCCTTAATTAGCCCTAAAACTAGGATTAGGGTAATGTTCCAGTTCCTGCAGCGTGGGCACACAGTGTCTGTAACTGGAAGATGAAAATTGGGATTGGGATGTCTGGTCCCAGGTGCAGGGCAGGGAGATCTGCACTCAGGAGATCTGCCTGTGCCTGGAATCCCTCTTCTCTTTGGGTGACTCCAGACAGGGAAGGTGAATTGTAATTGTAAAGGTCCAGACATGGTAGAATTGTAATTGTAAAGGTCCTGAGCTTTCCCTGCGTGTGCAGAATGTCCATCTTTGGTGCTAGGCACTGATCCTTTCCTTTCATCTTGCCAGTGGGGAGAAGTGTCCATTCTTTCACCTTTCTCTAGTGATTTATGTCAATGCCTGGTAACATAATTTCTGTTGTTAGTGAAATTTGCTGTTTTCTTGTTCCAGTGTGGTAGAGTTGGGTGTGCATGTCCTGCACTCAGAGCAGAGAGCTTGGCTGGTCAGCTGCTGCCTATGGGGAATGGAAGCAGGGTTGGGGAAGGGAACATAATCTTGGCTTTGGCTGCAGCAAAGAAGCAAAAACTCATGCAGCTGAAGATCTGGGTGAGGGCATGAGGCACAGAGCATGGGCAGATGTGGTGAGAGGGAGATGTTGGAGGAGAAAGCAGGCACTTCCAAGTGGGAGGGTCAGAACAGCTTTTCTTGGTTTGGCAGGGCTCATGGGTTCATGGATGGAGGGAAAGGGAGGCTTGTTGGATGTTGGGAACATGGCTCTTTGGAAAAGTGATACTAAAATTGGCAGTAGGTTCTAGCAAATGTGTAGAAAATTGGATCATGGAATGTTGCATGACATTCAGGTTGTGAGGTTTGTGCAGGGGCAGTTAATGGTACTTGTTTGCTTGGAAAAGGCTGGTGAGATGTGAGAATGAAGATACAGACCTGGGATTGGGAATTGACGTGGTAAAAAATGCCATTTCCTGATGGTGAGACATTGAAAGACTTAGAGTTTGGTATTTGGGGCATTTTCAAGTCATGCAGATTAGATTCATCAGCATGGAATGCGTTGGAAGTAGGAATCTCAGGGTATAAAGGATGTTGAAAGGTGGTTATAGATTAGTGGAGCTGTAGAGAAAGAAACTTTCTGCTCTGATGAAAGGGACGTACCAAACTTTTCCCAATTTTATTAAATGGTGGGTGTCCTTACACTTCCATTTCAGTTCTTCTCCATTTTCTCCTTACAGAACTAATTTTCTTTGTCTTTCCTCATGTCCTCTGAGGAGTAAGGGAAAGGAAGACAGGAGAAGCAAATGGGTGACATTGTGGTGGTGTGATTAATTTCGTGTCACATTTCTGAAGAGGCAGGGATTTATTTCTGGGTTACCAGACCTGTCACCTCCACTGTTCCTCCATTATGGAATTGCTTACATTACGATATTTGCTTTAGAACTCTGTGCATGAGATTGTTGCCATCTTAGATCTTATTGTCCCACAAGGGTCTTGAGAGAAAAAAAAAAAAGAAGATGTTTAGATCAGCAAATACTGCCTTGACTTAGTCTGGCTACAAACATTTGTTGCAAGACAGCTCTTGGATAATTTTTCTGAGCTTGGATATCTCCTTCCAGGGGCTTCCAAGAGCTGACTTCCCTGGAATTTACAGAATGTAATTGGAGAAAGGGAGTTCTCCTTTGAACCTGAAAAAACTGCTTGGAAGAGGAGGCTGCAGCTTTTGGAGCTGGTGTTAGTGCTGTTGCTGAATGTGGAGTGCTTTTCCAAGCTGGTTTTTGGCCCCTTTTTCCATCAAGGTGCCAAGCTTACATATTGGTAGGAAAGATTGATGAGAAGTGGGATGGTTGATGTGGTCATGGGATCAATGGTTCATGGATGTTTTCTGGTTAGGAATCCAGTAGAGAAGCAGCAACATGAGCCTGGCCCAAGTCTCCTCTGCTCCTGTTCTCTCACTGCTCTGGACAAATGGTTTTATTACCCATTTCATGCTGCTGCTTTGGGAGGCTGAAGAGCAGAAGGGAAGCTTGGAGTTCTTTGTGGACTTGGTACCACCACAGACTCACATTTGGAAGGTTACAACTTCAATAATTTTCATTTTCCACGGAGTTCTGAGATTTAGGTTATGTCCTCCTTACTGAGTTCTATTTTTTAATTAATATTACCATTTAAGGGAGGTGGTTTCTAAAGCAGGCTGTCCAGCTCCTGCCTGTGTAATGGCTGCATCATATTATGGCAGTTTATTTCATGTGAGTGGTGAATAAATTGTCTGCTAGATGGAAAACAATTTTGAGTCAAGGCAAGAGTTTGGCTGCAGGTTTCCCATTGGCCAGTCTGAAGTGTTAACAGCAGACCTAGAAAATTGAAGTTACTCACTCTGTTTTTGCAGAGAAGGAGGCTCTGCCCTTGCACCTTCTGGAACAACCAAAGGCTAAATTAGTCCTCTTTTAATTAAGCCAAGTTCAGGGAGAGTCCAGCGTGCTAATACAGAATTACATGCCAGAACTTGCTTTCCCTGGGTGGGAATGGTCTTCCTGTGGTGGGAAGAAGTGGCCACAAATCCTCTTGTGTGTCCAGGGAGCTGAAAAGGTGCCTCTCCCTGTTGCTACCAAAGCCTTTGGAGAAGGCATTTTCTCAGAGCATATTTGCACATGTGCGTGTGAGTTGTCAGAAAGTCTTTATTTTTAGTGTTCAGAAAATGGATGAGCGTGGACGCGCACAACAAATTAATTTCCAGTCTAGAAAAGCAAGAGCTCCTGCAGTGTTCCTTCTCTTGCAGCCTTTTTCACAGGTTTTTCTATCTGTTACCAATGTGCTGTTGAATTCCAGCCTTTCTTCCACACTTGGTTGTACTCCAGAAGGGAAAAAGAGGGCTTTTTCCTCACTCTGCAGCATCTAGATTAATTTCAACTGAGCTTACAAATGAAGTTACAAGTTTTGGCACAATGGCTTTACTGGGGGCTTGTAAGGTGTGAAGGAGAGTGCTGATTGCTGAAGTTTAATAGCTGTTTTTTTTTTTTTCCATTTGATTCTTGGAATGGTGGTAGCTGGTTTCATCTTGTGTTAATAATGATAAATTTTTAGAGAATTATGTCAGAACTTCACTTCTGGCAGGGGTTTGCACCGGGTGCCTCTTGCTGAGCCTGCTCAATGCTGGCTGAGGGTTGGAGATGGTTTGTGGTGCATTGCCTGCTCCATGGAACAGCTGATCACAGGGATTTCCTGAAGAAATAGTTACAGGCAGTGGCCTCTGGTTTATCCTTTTGCTCTGGTTATTGTTCCTGCCTCTAGGAATTGCATGATCAGATCAATTAAAACTCTATAACTTTTACAGATGGTTGGTACAAGTCAGTTTTCTGAGTTCTGCCTAAATCCCTCTCTGTACATGAACCATAGGAGTCAAATCAGCTGAATGATTGTCCTGGCAGTACTCTGTGCCTACTAATTAATGAGGAAAACAACTGTGTCACTTAGCAGCAAT